CTCTTCTTCCAACACTTCTGTGGTACGTTTCTTACACCTTCCTCCTCAGATCCAACCTGACCACTTCCTATTTTCCTGACCAGTGGCGCAGCTACTCTATGGGAGGAACTGGGAGAGCTAAGGGGTCCTACCCCCTTAGATTTCACTGTATTTGACTGACCAGTGACTACTAAAGCACGATTGTTTAAGAAACTTCAAATACATTCCGATATTTTTTAATTAACAGATTTCTTTTGATTTTTTCAGCAATTTAAGATTTTTAAACCCCTCCCAGACTGAAATCCTGTTTTAAACCCACGTGACTCAAATCTTAAATGCGCCACTAGTCCAGACATTATATAACCCTTACGCATTCAGCGCTACCCTTGGTAATAATAATAATAATAATAATAATAATAATAATAATAATAATAATAATAATAATAATAATAATAATAATACGCCTCCCATCAATCCCAGATTTGTAGAAACACTTGATCAACTTACCTTTCTCTAACGTTTCTAACCAAATTATCTATATAATCTCACTTTAATTCTCTAAATTTTATTAATTTTGGCTTTCATATTATAGCACCTAATTATCTCATTTTTTTCACAGTATAATAATACATACACATTAAAGTCATATTCTGTCTCCATCGCCTCGGGCCTTCTATTAACTGCTCCTCCACTGAAAGACCTTTCATCGTACTTCTTTCAGACAGATGCCTTAATATTCCATTAAAGAGTCTTTGTTTCGAGGGACTGGATCATTCCCACCCCTTCCTAGGACCAAACCTAATTACTATGCATTCCCTAGACTCATAGTAGAAGAAACGTGGGTGGAAATAGTAATATTTATAGCAATCACAGCACAATCATCCCTCTCTAAGAACTTAGAGAGGGAATAAAGCCTTTTATTATAACAACGTTTCGCTCGAGGGATGCCGTCGAGCGAAACGCGGATATAATAATGGATTAAGCTATTTTAGTGTCTTTACAATTCACTTGTCATCTTAATATATTTTTTTTTCACAGACGTTTGCAAATAGAGAAAAGTTATGATGTAATCCTATAAATTAATGTGGCTTTAGAAGAGGTTACGAAGCTCCGACCCCAAATAAAAAATAAATTTGAATAAGGGTTTCTTATATGTTGAAATTCACAGCAATTTTGAGTACATGAGGCATGCAGTCGTGAACAGACTTTTCATAAAAAAAAATGGAAAAGACACCAATTATTTTTACCGACGACGTGAACAAAAAATGAATAATAAAGAATGGAAAAGAGATGAATGAATATAAGCAGATCAAGAAAAAACATGGTAATTAGCATGAGTGAAAACAGGTACCTCAAGAATAATTAGATACACTGTATAGTAAAGCTTTTGTTTTTCGGACGAAGTGTGGAAACCTTGTGCAGGTATGTCAGCAAATACTTAACAACTGAGAGAGTCATCACATGACAAACACCAGTATCAACAGTTTCCTTACGAACAATCTCCTCCACCTAGCTACTTTTCCCAGCTAGTTAGGGCTCTAATACAAAATAAGTTGAACCTGATCTTTACTAGAGATAGCGACCTCTTGTATTCATCTGAGACGAGTTGTTAAAGTAATTTCGACAATAACATTACAATATCAACATTAAAGAAATACTGAAAAGAAAAAGTTCCGTCTATTACCAACTACGGAACCTCAGAAGGAAACGGGAGGGAGAGGTACAACGATATTATTAAGTGAAATAAGAATTATTCTCGCCTTTTCGGATTAAATCTGATTACATCCCATTCCCTTCAGGAACTATGAAGCAACTCTCATCTCAAGAACCAGGAAGGAACCTCCTCCAATAAAAAAAAAAAAATGCAGAAAAGAACGAATCTTTCCCAAATGACTTAGAATTCACAAGTTTCGTAACACATCATGAGCAAGTTTCCTTACATACATTGAACCTTACCTCACAGATATTCTGGATTGAATTATGATTTAAATTAAAGAAGCTTTTAATAGAGAGTAACTATTAAGAAACTATAAAATTTCTGAGCCAGTGACCAGTTCCGGTTCTTCATGAATTTGCCCAACAGACACACGATGTTTCATCGAGTAAACCACTAACGTAACCAGGACAAAAAAAAAAAAAACTCCCTATGTTCAGACAGTGAACGGTTCTAATATTCCAATGGCTTTTAATGTTAATAATCTCTCCAATGTAGTTTAGATGCTCCTACGACTGACCTCTTTGAGTTTAGGTTTGAATTTACCTTGAGACTTATAAAAAAGGCATAACATAGATAAAATATATTTATTTAAATTTATTAGACTTATAAATATATATATAGATATTATATATATATATATATATATATATATATATATATATATATTATATATATATATATAATTATAATTTTAATAAATTCATGACTAAGTCCAACTTTATTCAAGATATTCTGTGTCTAGAAGAACTATTCTTTAAAGACATTTGTGTCTGTTTTCTCAACAACAACAAAATGTTACCTAAAAGACATAGCATAGTCATTAATTAACTCAAAAACTTTCCTGATATTTAATCGTATCTCCAGCCTAAATCTTCTTTCCTTTATGATCCACAAAAAAACAATAAACCTTTACGTCCCAAATAATCGCTAGTAGTGTCTTCTTTTCCTATTAAATGGCTAAATGATCCAGTTATCTGTTATTACATATTTTAGCACACATAAAACACTGAGGATTTCGCTGACTAAATCAAGAATCTGAATTTACACATTAATGATGTACTCAATTTTCTGATCCATGAACTCCAAATATCTGTGCCACTTTCAATATTTTCTCTTTCACTGGTGATTTTATATACAGAAATTTAGTTTTAGCATGAATTACGAGTTCTCCCCAGTTCCAACATATATATGGAATGTTTTATTGTTCGTATATCAAATAGTCGGATATAATTTAGCATTAATATGCATGTGGATGTAATCTAACTTACTGGGATAATGATATGGGTTGATTCGATATTTTTTTTCAAGATCCTCAAAGAATTAGTGCACGCTATTCATTTCAAAGTGAAAGGGAAACCAGTAATCAAGTTTAATGCTTAGATGTTCTATTAAGTAAATATGTAAATTACCACTATTTCAAGTCAACAATTATTGTACATTCAATTTCATAATGACATGAAAAGTAAAGTATTTCTATTTTCATGAATAGTCAAATATAAACCATTATATTACGGATAATCAACACATTATCGAATAACTTCACTATTTCAGTTAGCCACTCAGCAGAAAAGAAAATGTATATTCTCATTTTCAATTACAATGAGATATCTAAAATTGTTTCATTTAGACAAAAAAAAAATACACGGGAAACAGTCAAGGTTTACGGTCCGGGGCTGATTTATTAAACTTGGTTTACAAAAAAAAGTACAAGAATTTCTACACTAACAAGGTAAAGACTATGAGAAAGGAGTAGAGTTGGTGATGCCTCATCTTCGAGGAATAACAGGTTAAATCAATCCAGTCATCTCTTTCTTATTCAAATAAAATCGGAAATACTTTTATCCAAACAATACAAGAACTCTTTCTCTTTCTAAATTATTTCACGTAATCGTAATTTAGTATACATAGGATAGACTGGGGAAAATTTAAATCAAATGATGACAGACCATAAACGAGCAGCGACATAAGCCCAAGAAAATTTCGCATTTTTTCAAATACGTGGAAATACGAACCGATTACACAAGCAACAGGAAAATAATAGCATCATAATTAGTAGACACTCAAGAAAATTAACATGTTTCGAATGAACAGTGAAGACCTAGTACTACTGCTAAATTTGCTCTAGAAACATATTCAGGATATCCTACTTGATCAAAGATAGACCAGTCTGACAATACAGTTGGAAAAATGCTAATAGGTAGCGGAACATAAAAATTTAGGAGCACTGTACTGCACCTAATACCCAGTGCAATGAAAATCCTCAGATTTAACCTCTCTCGATTATATATTTGTTCAGATTTAACCCTTATCGATTATATTTGTTCAGCCAACTTTTTAAACCTTCAGTGTGGTCTCTTTCGGTATGAATCAGTAGAATTATTGTAGTGCAGCACTTAACTTTTCACCTGGCTTACCCCCACCCCTCTACATGTTACCCTCCTGTCTCCATTGTGCATTCTACTTATGAGGACGCCAGTTGGAAGTCAAAATATACAGTCTCAAGTTGTCTACATGCGCATTACTCTTCAGCTTTGATAAGTGTTAATGAAAGCACTTATTTCATTTTGGTATTTTTATAAATGAGGACAGTACAGAGATAGTCATATCATGCTTGTGAAGGGCTTTTGATCTTAGGAGCTGGAGCTCTTCTCCACTCCTTTGGCTCAAACCCGAGTTCTTTCTATTAAATATAATAATAATAATAATTAATAATAATAATAATAATAATAATAATAATAATAATAATAATAATAATAATAATAATAATAATAATAATAATAATAATAATAATAATAATAATAATAATAATAATAATAATAAATAATAATAACAATAATAATAATAATAGTGTACAGTTCTGATTTCAAAACTGGCAAAGCCTAAATATTTTTTTTTATTTTGTTTTCGGTAATATCGAGGATTTATTAAAAATATGTCTTTGTTATAAATGAAATATTAATTCTTTGAGCTACTTCGTGACTGCAAATTGTGAAAGGCACACCTAAAGATATTTTTTTCAAGCATTGTTATGTGCTATTTCAAAATTTTTTTTTCTGGGGTTTTACAAAGGAAGATTGTGGGCAGGAAGACAATATGTCTTATAAATTATTTTATTATATACATTTGTATTATAAAATTCAAATTTAACCGAGCATAATAATAGGTCTGATTTTTACAGGATTTTTTTCTTTGGTATATAATGAATTGAAGATTTAGAACTATTCCATAAAATAACAATTATGTAATCTGAGATAATTCAATAAATATCTTGAGCTAATTAAATGCTATTTCAGTAAAATGTTACTTATTTTTCTCAAATCTCGCATTTAATTTTTTTTGCCTTATAGAGTTATATCTTATAGTTTCATTATAGAGAGGGTTTTGTATAAGAAAATGTGGCACAATATCGTGGCTGTAACACTTCAAAATAAACTACAAAATCATGGTACCGTTGCTGGAACAATTTACAACTAAGCCACACTTTCGAGAGGAAACTTCAAACGACCTTTGGTCCTTCCTGGATCATTATCAAGTGACCACTGATTTGATAATGATCCAGGACCGACCGAAACGTCGTATAGAATTTCCTTTTGGAAAGTGTTGGATATCTGTGAATTGATGTATAGTAATCAAAATAATCACGTCATCTACATAATCTAAAAGATTCGTATTCTATTACACATCATGCAATTCAAAAGCATTTTATGTAAAGGAAAAACTTTCTTATTATGTTTTAACCAAAGCTGGGCTTTAAAAAGTCACTCTGAGTCTCCACTTTCCGGGTGACGCCAGTGTCTAGCTTCCTGTGTCCATATAGGAAGTATCTCTGTATCAATAAATAGTTAAAAATAACGATGGGTACACTGTCGTCTTGAAACAGCTTCAGATCTTCCAACAGGGAGCCGAATGTGATCAGACGTGTAGGGGGGGGGGGCGCAGGAGGAGTGGTCTCACACTTCCAGCAGATTATCCTGAGAAAGATACAAAATGGAAAGCTATTTAGAAAGTTAACAAATCATGGAATAATGTTAGACAGAGAGAGAGAGCGTATGTGTGAGTATATATATATATATATATATATATTATATATATATATATATATATATATATATATATTATATATATATATATATATATTTGTTAAGTAAAGTATATTTTTTCTCTTAATTCCCGGGAACTTTAAGTTCCATCATAGTGGTTCAATAAGGATCAAGTCTTTTATTTATATTACACCACTGATAGTGATAAAGATCTCTTGATAGAAGAAATAGGAAGCACCTTCCTCTTCCTCGGATCAACTAGGATCGCTTCCCATTCTTCATTTATTGCATTTTCCTTACCGGTTTAGCTCTTACCTTGTACTGTAATAATAATAATAATAATAATAATAATAATAATTAATAATAATAATATAGTAATAATATAATAATAATAATAATAATAATAATAATAATAATAATAATAAGTTATTGTTACCTTGTGAGGAAGTGAGTTTAATATCGCGGAGAATTTTGGGGGAGAATCTACATTTTTCAATGTTGATTTTTTGTTACAAAAGCACAAAATGCATAATGGCCTGATGAATTACTTTTTTGGATGAATATATTATTCCATGAAAATAATGATTCGTACACGTATTAATTATGAAAGAATCTGGCCCAATTCCATTAATTGCCCACAAAAGCAGGCTACAGAAAACACACCAGCCATGTTATCATACAAAAGGAAACTACACAATGAACTGTGAAAAACTGTGAATATTGTGTATAACTACAGTGAGTTTGACAGTTATTTTTCTGAAACATACACTAAGAAAATTGTTTTTCGAAGTGTAATGAACATTTTTCATTGTTGACGGAAAATTCACATATTGGTATTAAAACACTGAAAGATTTACTTTATATCTCGACTGCCCACTGAGGTCCATTTACATATAATGAAGAGAACCTAAGCTGGAAGTCTCTCTCTCTCGTGTTTTATATTCAGCTTTGTGGATGTTCTGTCACTATATAGAGATACAGATCTTTGCTCTCTCGACCCCTCAAAGGAGGTTCCTTGATGCTGGTGAGGGGGGCTCTTTATCAAGGGAATTGGATATGTGCTTCAGTTCCCTGAAATAAGCCTGAATACCTTCCATTCCCCCCCCCCCGCTGTATAATCCTACGGGTTTAAGGCTTCCCCATGATTATAATAATTAAAATAATGTTCTCTTGAGAATTGTAGCGAGAGATACTTGATGACCAGCTATATTTTCAAGCTACATAATATTTTGGTTACAAGTTATCAAGGGAAGTAATAAAGTTCGCTGTTACTGTACCATTAATAGGCTTTGTCCCTTCGATTACCCTAAAATAACTTGTACATGAGAAAAAGAAAAGGCTGCATTACTTTTTATGAATCTATTACAGAGGCTGTAGGGAATTTGACCTCATCTTGGCTTCTGTCCTAGGAGTTGGATATCTTGTTATCTTGTTTTGGATTCCGTTTCAGTAGTTGCAGCTAATGCTCAGCTAATGCTCATACTAGCCCTCCTTGCAACCTGTTTCCTTCGGAATTTGTAGTTAATATCATCCATTCTAGTAGGTGCATGTCATTCTCCTTTCAGTGGTTGTTGCTTACCCTTTCTCGCTTTGGATCCTACTCCATGAGTCTGATGCTTAATTTATGATTTGTTGGCATTTCGATAAATTTTCCTAAGTCAGCACACTGGCCTGCGAGTTTTAGGACTCTCCTGCCATGGGTTCGATCCCCCTAATGTTCTGTGATTTATTGGCAGTGGTGTTACTACGATTTCGCGAGTCTTAGTTTGTTATTCTGGCTTCATATTTTCCCTTCAGATGGTGCTAAAAAAATTGTCATTATACAAATTTTGTATATATGTCGTGCCGAATAGGTAAAACTGGTCAATTAGCAAAAACTCGCTTAGAATTAAGTTCTTTCTAATATTTTATATTATACGTTTAAAGATATATTTTTTTCATTTATGTTGAGGTAAAAATTAATAATTTTACCCAAAAGAACCTTAGAAAACTTATCTACCGTTATTATAACAAGGGCAATTTAATTTAGTGTAATCCAGCTAAATATATTTTACATAGGTTTACAGTAATTTATAATAAACAAACACAGTGAAATATTTCTTTTTTCGTTTGGTTCAGAATGATTTTTGCGAAAGTATTGCATACACAAATTTTCGCTTGCCTTATTCGGGAAGAAGAGCGTTGCTATTTAAGCTAAAATTGCAAGTTTTACCTATTCGGCAAGACGTATATATATATATATATATATATATATATATATATATATATATATATATATATATATATATATATATATACATATATATATATATATATATATATATATATCATGTTGATATTATATACATTATATATTTTACATTTATATATTATATATATATATATATATATATATATATATATATATAATATTTATATATAATATTATAAATGTTGTTAGGTAAGGGACATAGCAAAAGTGGTTGCTTTATTATGAAAACGTATCGCTACAGTAGGCTTCTCAGTCAAGTACAGAAAAGTTGATAGAAGAGAAGATACTTGAAGACGATGTAATCAGTCTACCTTAAATTTGGGTGGGCAGTCCTCGTCTGAGAAAGCATTGTTCCATAGTAGAACATGCTCTTCTCAGACTGAGGATGACACCTCAAAACTTAAGGGTGATGGACTGATTACATCGTCTTCAAGTTCTTCTGCTTCTATCAACTTTTCTGTATACTGAGAAGCCTACTGTGTAGGCGAAAACGTTTCATAATAAGTACTACTGTTGATATGTGTTACCTAACAACTGTCGTTTTTATAACATTTTAATGTCTAAGTATATTAATATATTATTTTATATATATTATATATATATATATATATATTGATGACGTTCAGTGGTTGAGCGTCCTGGCTTACCAGAATAGGTTTTACATTGACTGCATTAAAATAATGGATCGCGACATACATGACAAAACCCAATTAAGGTGAGAAGCTTGGTTTAAGAGCTAAGTCAGGTACAGGAGGCAAGACAGGTGCAGGAGCAAAGCTATGTAAAGTAGCTAATCCACGTGCACAAGTTACGTTGGGTGAAGGAACTAAGTCAGGGGGATAAATTACCTTGATTCTGGTGAAGGTTCTTGATGTACAGCATTGGTTCTACGCTTTGTTTCCTAGGATCAAAGCTGATTGTTTTCCAACACTCAACGGGTTTAGCTCTTCTCCATGGGATTGTAAAAATAATCAGCCTTTACGTGACAAAAATTTCCATCTCCAGTTGAGGGTTAATTATGAGTTCCGCCACGTTCTTGTGACTTATAAATTTGGAACTCAAGTATATTAAGATTATTCAGGTCTTTTTGTTGGAAACTATACTCATTACATATTTTTGCATAGGGCTTTACACTATCACCAAATAAATTTTTATGCTGTATTTACCTATAGTGTTCTGTGCCTTTTGGTAAAGCATTAATTCAAAAGGAAATTTCGGATTAAGTACCAGTGCTTGTAGGACCCCGCGTTAAACATTTCCCCACGAGGAATTTTGTCTCCCATTTCTGTCTTAGATTTAGCTTACTATTTTTCTTTGGCACTCGAGACGATTTTCTTTATTATTCGCACGTCGTAATTAATTTCATGTGAAATAGAACATGAACTCTTTTACCGACTTTTAATAACTGACACTTGTTATATCTTCTGTTTTAGCAAATCTTTCAAAGAAGGTGTCTTGATGCTAGTGAAGTGTTCTTGATTAAAAAAGTTAGTTTTCCCTCCCCATTCTTATATCAGACCTGTTTAACTCTCCTTTTTCCAGGTGACATATGATGACTACGGATTTTTCGCTTCCCCATATATCTAATAATAAAATATATAGCAATAACAATAATGATGATGATGATGATAATAATAATAATAATAATAATAATAATAATAATAATAATAATAATAATAATAATAATAATAATAATAATAATAAAGTGTTGGCTTCTCTAACATGGGTTGTTTTTATTCACGATGATGCATAAAATCTTTTCCCACATATTGAGGCATATATTTCACCAATTGTTTCCCGTCTCTTTTCTTTGTAATTTAAATCAGACCCACTACGATTAATTTTCTTTTCATTGTAAAATTAAAAAATTTGGACAGGTTACATTAAATAATCTTCAAATTTCACAACAAATCATACCAAATTCTTTTCATTTGTTGTTAAACAGTAAGCTGTGCATATTTACAGATACGAGTTATTTTTTTTTTGTTTGTTTCCTGCCTGTATTGTAGTTTGTGTAGGTTTTTACTTTAACAATATTGCTGTTCCACTATAATTTCCAGTCTCCGTCCCTTCTCTACACTAATTCAAACTCTTTCTCTTTCAACAAATGTATCTTTTGTTTGGTTGATGCTCCAGACATTACAATATCTGGCTGTTTATTGCTCGTAATACCTCTTAATTCTAGTCTCTTTTTTTTTCTTTATAAATAATTGAGCTATGACCCCTGGTACATGAAAAATCTTTGTCAATGTGTTTGTCTCCTTAGTTGTCCATATGGTTTTATATTATTTCTGGCCACTGTTCGGAGTCCTGAAAACCCATTTAGTGGGTCTGAACTCGTTACTCATAGATAAATATGTTCGCTACTGCCAGCATACAGTGTTTAGGCCTCTCTTTTATAAACTTTTAATTTAATTATTTGATAGTAAAAGCATTTAGTTTGAAAAAAAAAATCAAATTATCACTGTCTTACTTTCTAGATATGCAGTAAAATATACAAAAGATTACTTATCAAAATCTAGTTCACTATTATTATCCTTTAATTCAGGAACAGTTTCTAACTCTGGAACCTTAAGTTTTTTGTATGTTCATCATTTGAAATAGTTTCAAAATACATATACGATCTAGTAAGAGAAAGTTTGATTACGATGTTATATAATCGCCAGTTACTCATGTATGA